AAAAAAAAAAAAAAACAAGGTGTGTGAAAATCTTACCAAGGTTTTTGGTGATGATTTCCACACACCTCCCACTCACGTTTTGGTGGTGGCTCATGTGTGGAGGAGAGGCCGCAATCGACAATGTGGGACGTGTTTTGGGAGGATTCGACCCCCTCACCTACAGCAAATATGGCATATTGCGAAGGACCAGAGTGCTCTGTGGCCCATTTCAAGGAAGGCTCAGACTACAGTTAACGAATCTGGTCCCCTTGGACGCTCACATGCAGTCATCTTGACTGCCACATCCGTGGTCAGTGGTCAGTGAATCATACCCACCTTACATCTGACAAGCTGCCTGGATGAGACAGGATCTGTGGGAAGAGCACTTCCTCCTCTTTTTTTTTTTTTTTTTTTTTTGTGTGGTCCGATGGAGCGCGGATCAGATATTAAACTGATCAGAACAGATAGCCCTTCTCTTTTTTCGCATTTCTCTCTTCATTAATTTTTGTCAAGATATGGTTTTCGTTTTTATTTTACCTATTTTACGCTGCCACCCACCTGTCCCCCACCCGTCCCCCACCCGTCCCACACACGTCACACTAATCCAAATACATGGTAGTGGGATCTCTCTCCCGATCTTCTATACTCTCGGCGGGACCACAGCGTTCCTGCCCCACAGAGTAGGGGTTTTTTTTTTTTTTTTTTTTTAATCTTTTTTTTCATTTTTTGAAAAAGCCCAGGTTGTTGTAGAGGCTGGATTGCAGACATATGAGAGTCACCTGCCCTCAGAGTAGTGATATCTTATCCACACCTCTTCCTGCACACCTGGGCCACACCTTGTCAAGAGCAATGGACCCACAGCTGGTCCACACCTTGTCCCCGACCACAATGGACCACATCTGGTCCACACTTCGTCCACACGTGGTCGACGACACCTGGTCCAGAGCACGTGGTCCAGAGCACCTGGTCCACATCTGGTCCACGACACTGGACGACATCTGGTCCACGACACTGGACGACATCTGGTCCACGACACTGGACCACCTCTGGTCCACGACACTGGACCACATCTGGTCCACACTTGGTCCACACCTGCTCGAGACCTGGTCCCGCACCTTGTCCAGAGCAATGGACCACATCTGATCCAGACCTGCTCCACACCTGTTCCACACCCGGCCCGCACCTGCTCCCGACCTGGTCCAGACCTTTTCCACAACCTGGTCCACACCCAGGCCACACCTTGTCCACAGCAACGGACCTGACGTGGTCCAGACTTCTGGACCTCTTCCACACCAGCTGCGCACCTTGTCCAGACCAACGCACTGCGCACTGCTGCTGCTACAATGGTCCTCGGATTCAAAGAAGACCAACGAACTGAAGAGAGAGAATTGGAGGGACAGGGAGAGGGAGGGTAAGGAGGAGGAGGAAGGACGGAAGACGATAAACGCCAGACGGAACAAGCCGCGCATCGGTTCATGTTGTTTGAAAGGCAATTTAGGGCCTCGGCACACCACTGTAGAAACGACAAAAGGAAGAATGCATCTTGTCCATAAAGTCGTAAGATGCATCCCTTTGCTACCCACAGAAACGGATGCATCTTGCCATTCTGTGCGGGAAGATGCACTCATACTTTTTCTCCCTTTTACAGTGCCGAGGCCCTTACGCATCAACCGAAAAAAAAAAAGTTGGCAGCTGATCTTAGTACCAGGCAAAAAAAAAAAAAAAAAAAAAAAAAAAAAAAGNAAAAAAAAAAAAAAAAAAAAAGTTGGAAAAGCCGGGAAACAGATCCGTTAAAATTGGAGCGATACAGAGAATGAAGATTAGCATGGCCCCTGGGGCCAAGTCCCACTAGCAGCGTTGAGCTACCTCAACGCCTGAATCTGGACGTGTTTGTGGAGATGTGCAGTTCAGGAAAGTCAACACCATTTCTGCACATCTCGGCAAAAGCGTCCACATTCAGGCGTTGAGGTAGCTCAACGCTGCTAGTGGGACTTGGTCCCTGCGCATTTCAAGGATGACACTCATAAATCGAGAAACGGTCCAAATTTTTGATGAGGAAAAAAAAAAAAAAAAAAAGAACAAACGCCCCTCCTACGTATCGTGTCGACGTAAGGGGACGCAGGGTCTCTCTCCAGTACACAACACTCTACTTGCATTTGGACGCTTTCCTGCGCAGGTGCATTCGGACGAATCTAACATTTCGAAGGTATTGGTTCCAGAAAGCGTCCCAATGCACGTTTTGTTTTGTCTAGCGAAGCGACGCCCTTAACGCGACTTAACTGGACGTGACCGAACGTAACGGACGGTAACGGGAGGTAACGAGACGTAACGAGAACGCGTCTTTTTTTTTTTCTTTCTTTTTTTTTTGAGAACGCGTCTTTATCATGGCCGTTTTCGAAACTGGTCGAGAAAAAAAAAAAAAAAAAAAAAAAGAAATCTGGTCGAGAACTACGCGAGTGTATACAACCCAGCATTCTGGCCAGGTGTAGGGTGCCCAAAATGCAATCGCAAACTGTATCATGCCCCATAGTGCAATTATAACTCGTTTTTGTGACTCTACTGAAGTCACCCTTCTTTTTTCTTTTTTTCTTTTTCTCTTATGGCACATTAGAGCGAATGGTTTTTTCTTTTTAAATTAATTCACGTAAAGGGGAAAACGACAAAACAAGAAGGAAAAAAGAGTTAGCCCGTAACCATATCGAGACACTTGATCTGGGGCCAATCGATTACCTGAGCAGTGAGGTAGAAGGGTAATCGCGACGTTGTCGCATGCCATGGACGAGACGTGTATACTGCGAAAGTAAAGCCTCGCACGTTTTGTCTGAATTTTGCATGTCTGTCTGTCTCTCTCTCTCTCTCTCTCTCCCCCTATTTTTTTAACAATCACTTGGAGCATGCACCAATCAGTTCCAGCCTCTTTGCCGCACACAAAACATCGAATTCTTGAGATGATGATCGGGATCGCGTCACCCAATCTTCTTGAATTATTCCTAATATATTACAGTAGGCGTAATTATCGATCGATAACCGATAACCCCCCAAACCCCAACCCAGCCCCCAACGAAACCCTGGTTTACTCATTTATTCTCAACACAAAGACAGCTAACATTTTAAACAAATGGATATGAGATCAAATCCAAGTCAATCAAATTTGACTCAATTCCGCAAAACAGCTTTCCAGCCAATTGAAGAAAAAAAAAATAAAGAAGACACATGTTTCCAAAACGCTTTTGAAAATAACATATCGATCACAAAACGATCGAACAACTTACCCCATCGAGTAATTATGACCACACTAATTACAATTTATAATCACAATTCTAATAACTATTTATTTTACAAAGTAGCCATTCGCAATTTAAAATTAAGGAATATTCTTGATTAACACTTTAGTGGATTTAAAAAAAAAAAAAAAAAAAAAAA